AACCTCCTCCACCACTCTCCTCTGTCCTTTCCTGCCCTCCTTTTCCACACCTCGCTTCTTTCTTTTCATGTGCCTCTCACCGCCTCCCATCCCCATTATAAGCTCATCCGCTTCTTCTACTCCTTGCATCCCTGAGCCATCGTTCTCACGCACATGATAGTCGCCCTCCTCATTCTCACCCTCCCTTTCCTCCACACTCTCTCTCATGCCCTCACCTCTTCTTTCTGCAAACCCGTCCTTTCTTCTTCCCTCCCCCTCCCCCTCGTCTTCACCCTTCCCACGTCGCCCCCCACGTCCTCTTCTTACCTTCCTAACTTCCCCTTCTCCCTCCCCATACCCACCCTCCCCCTCCTCATTTCGCTCATCCCCGTCCCGCTCCTCGCTCTCCTCTCTACCCTTCCCCCTCCCCCCTCCCTCCTCTGCAATCTCCCTTCCTTTCTCTTCCCCATCTCCCTCTCTCGGCCCCCCGTCGACCCTCCCTCCTGCCTGCGCGTCATCAGGCTCAGGTACGTCCTCCCCCACATCAACCTCTGCCATTTCCCCCTCCCCCACACCACCCTCAAGGATCTCGCCCTCCCTCACACCCCTCGACATCTCTGCACGTGCCTTCACACTCTCTCTCCCCCCCTCAACATCCTCTCGATCCACTCTCTCCTCTTCCTCATGCGGTTGACCCTCCCTCTCTGTGTCCGCTCTCTCTCGATCCAACACGTCTTCCACCATGCTCCTCTCTGCATCATCGCCATAGTCGCCCTTGCCCAAGTCCCCTCCCATCGCCTCCTCCCCTGCGCCTTCCTCCCCCCCTCCCTCTCTCACTCGCTCCTCCCTCTCCTCCTCACCTCCGTCCCTCTCCCCTCGACCCGGCTCCCCTTCTCCCCTCCTTTCTTCCACTTCCCTTATCTCTTCCACCCTCGCCTCACCTCCCGCGTCTTCCACTCTCACTTCCTCCCTCGTTTCTACCATCGAAACATCCTGATCAGCACCTTTATTTCCATCCCTTCGCTCCTCCCACTCCCCAGCCACCTCTCTCCCGTCTCCTTGACCACTTCCTCGCATCCCCTCATCCCTTCCATACCCTTCCCTTTCATCCCCCTCCCTCCCCATACCCGGCCCCCCCTCCACTTCTCCCCCGACTGGCTCCCCCATATCCACACCTGCCTCCCCCGGTCTTCTTCCCCCACTCTCGTTCCCCGCGTCCCCTTCCCCGCCCACTCTAACGCTGCCGTCCGTCCTCGCCTCTCCTCCTACCGCCTCCCCGTCCCTATCACCAAGCTTCGGCTCGGGCATTCGAGACAGACTATTCTTATCTACCTCCGCCTGATGCCCCAGCAGCAGCCAATACACGCCCCCGGCAAGGCCTAGCAGCGCCATGCACGCCAACGCGATCAGCCGCCTCCTATTGCTGAAATACGTCAGAAAACCCCCTCTTGATACGTCGCTTCCCCCACGTCCCCGCCCCTCTATCCCCGTGCGCCCAGCCCCCATCCCCCGCACTGATATACCCCTTTCTCCCCTCCCCCCGGATAGTCCCTCCGCGTCTGGTATGTCATCCCAATCCGGCTCCCACCCCCCGCCCCCATCATCCCACCCCCCAAATCCCTCCTTTCCCCCGCCGTCCCTCCCCTTCCCCGCGTTCCCCTGCGGGCCTGACCACCCCTTCCGCCCAGCCCCTCCCCCCAGCCCCACTCCTATCCCGCCCCCGCCTCCGGTCAGCCTACCACCACCTCCGCCAATGCTCGCTTGTCCTCCCCGCCCCCCCAGCTGCAGCGGGCGCGCGGAGGAATCTGGGCTGCGGCGGGGGGCCGCGGAAACAGGGTCCATTGGCGGAGATCCCCATGGGGAGGCGGATGTGGGGGAGGCCGGATCGGCAGAGGAAGCATACCTTGCGGGGGAAAGGGCAGAGCGTGAAGAAAGGGAAAAAGGTTGTAACAAGAAACGGATCGCATTATGTTTGCTGCATTTTTCTGGGTGAGAACCACATTCCAAGCAGCACGAGCCAATAACAGAGTCTCAGCAGGATGAGCGGCCGATGTGCAACACGGCGAGATCTACGAAGAGGAGGCGGAAACCAGAAGCTCGGCAAAGATCAGAGGGACCCAAGAGGCACGCGAAGGACTCTCAGGGTCAGCGCGGTCCTTCACAAGCCCCGGCCTTAGTTCAGAGGCCGACATCACGCAAAAACGCGGTCTTGATCGATGAAGGAATGGGTTAGGAATGAGACAGAGAGGATTAGACGTACTTGGCACGGCTGACCACCAGCTTGCTCTTCGGAGCTGGCTTTTTCGCCGCTCTGCGACCACCGTCCATCGAGAATCGAGTTACGCCTTAACTGATCAAGCGAATTCAGGACGATCGCACATCCAGCAGCTCGGCCTGCGGCGCCGTCGAGATCGTGCTACAGCCGAGCCCGAAACCGGATGATTGTCATGCGTCGCAAACCCATTGTATTGCCGGCATGCGCTTTGTCAGCAAAAGATTACTCTCACACGCTGAGAGGAAACACAAGCGGGAGAGCAGAGCATGATGGCGACCCCCAAGTATTTGGACGCAGTGGAGTAGGACGCGCAGATACTGAACAAGAGGCCCAAGGAGCAGAAGGAACGAGACGAAATCTAGGTGGTGGTGAAGATCCCAAGAAGAGATGGGACAGGACGGGAGTAGGTTGAGGATGGATGGCGGGAAAACAGCACTTAGATGAGATCAGAGATCAGAAATGCTTTTTAATGAGGACGTTTTGCAATACACTTGACATACAATACTTGGTCAAATCAAGCATCTGAAAGCATACATTAAGGCCACTTTATTTCATATTGTCATAGCTAGTAACCCAAGCCGGCAAAAGGAGTTCGGTAACAGTAAGTGCCTGGATAAATCAGATAAGGCTGTCAGCAACCATGGTCACCAATGGAATTTGTAGGCAGCTTAGGTCAAGTGCTGATAAGCAGGGCCTCAGTTATCAGGATAATTTATCCTGATTCTCCTGAATTCAGGATAGGTGTCGTGTGCTAGTCCTGGAAAAACAGCATAACAGGAATAATTGTCCTGTAATTTCAGTATAACATTATTCTGCGTACTGGAAACTCAGGATAAGGCTGTAGGTTCAGCCCTGATGAGTCAGGATAGTGTCGAGTCTCGCTCTGAAGCGAGATGTACTGTACGTAAAATCTCCTGGGTTTCGGGCCTAAAATATCTATGTGCGAGGAACTCGAACACAGGAGCCAGCGAGAATCGAGCACGAGACCTTGACGTCACGCAATGCCGCTTTACCCGCTACCACACTTCACCTATCACGAAGTGAAGCACTAAGACTACAGTTTACCTCACTCTGTGCAGCCCTGACAATTCAGGGCAAATTCCGATTTCCTAAAAACTGCCCTGAGGCCTCAGTGTACCCCCAAACGAATCTGAGGCCCTGCTGATAAGGTTGATAATTCAAACTATACCTATATGATCCTATATGTGAGGTGAATACATTAATAACCCCGACTGAAAGGAAGAGAAGATGAAATTGATGCAGTGCATAGTAGCCCACATGAATGTCATAAGGTTGTGTTGCATATAACTTCCATATTCATTGCTTGGTACCAGTTCATCCCAGAAAAAAAATTGTCCGGAAACGGGACCTCCCCGTCGTTGTATTATCACAATTTCACCCACTTGAATGCAGACGCCTTTGTCCGAATCAGATTTTGGTCCTTGTGACGAAGAGGCAGTTCAAGATGGTTGCGGTGAGTCGAGAATTGCGACCGAAGTTTGTCTTTTATTCAGGAGGGAGCACTGAGAAGTTACTTTCAGAAGATGTTAGATTTGTGTGTCGACTTATCTCTCTAGTTCTGGACTGGAAGGTATGGAGCAAAAGTTTTTTCCGCAGGGTTATCTGCCCGGAAAGATGCTCACCACAGTTTTGACCTCTAGGGAATGCTGGTGATGGGCTGTCTGGCAAGTTTTTACCAAACGGCACCCTTCTACAAGCTTCGGCACCGTACTCTTCCTGCTTTCGGCCGTTCTGTCCTACATCCCCGCAGGTTGGGCAAGTGGCTGGGGGCGCTCTGTCTGTACCTGCCCTTGGCAGCTACCACGCCACACTTCATCTGTCTCCTGGTCCCTTTCCCCCTCCAGCCAGCCACCCCCTTTTCTCCCCCCCTCACCTCGTGCCGTACATTTCGACAAGCCTCCATCCCCCACAAACCTCCTCAATTCACCTGAACTGACTTCACCATTCACTGAATCCACTGAACCGTATCTCACCTTTACTTACCAAGCCACCCTTGAGAGCTCATCAGACGAGGAATTTCGCCACCACCCACCCACACCAAGCTTCTGTGGCTCCAGCCTTCTTGCTCTCTGTTGGGCTCAGCGAAATCATCGGATCCCTCCCTTCCCCGTACCCCAACCCATCCAAGGGATTGCAAGAAATAAGCTATAGCCGGCTGTCTCAGCAATTTCTGTACCAGACCTGGCTTTCTTCGCCTTGACCGCGTGGAAGACGGGTCTGCTGTCGCGCCAAATCTGGTAAGTAATGAGGCTACGTTATCGAGATGGCGTGCATTCCCTCGTGCAATGTGGATCCGTGTTAGGCCGTTCCTCCCGCCGACCGCCGTTGTTCTTGCGAATGCTTGACCGTGATTCAGAATGCGTTAACAGCACCGCGTGTGTCTTGTTCTGTTCTAGGTTGGTTTCCCATGTTGCACGCCTCTATTCCTGCATCTGTCAACTTTACCTCCACTGATGATTTAGTCACGGCTTACCTTCAAACCCACGCCTTTCTATGTTACCGCACTGCACCATTTTCGCCATTATTCGTCGCCTACGTCCCTCGTAACATAACCTCGTCAAGGTTCTCTAATCTGTTGTTGTCTCGGCCTCATTATCACTTTCTTGTCGCCTTGTCGCCGTCCTCTGCACACCGTAGCGCCAGGCCCGGCGTCTGTTCCGAGTATCTTAGTAGCTGCGGCCACCCGTGCGGGGAGCAACGGCTGTAGCGGAGTCGGCGCGGCGCCATGGAGAGTTACGGCGACGACGACTACGAGGACACGTCCGGATCTGACAGGTGCGTCGCGCGGAGATTACGTTGTTCGTTCATTTTCGGTGATCTTGTTGTTTTTTTGTCTTTTCGTTGTTCGCATCGTGCGTCTGCGCATTGTCAGAGATAAGTGTTTCTAGTTCAGGGCCCCTCAGTATCCTGTCCAGGGGCGTCCGTGCCGCCGACATGGCTTCGCTAGAGAGGATGAGGATTATTGAACAATGATTTTTTTTCACAAATACCGCTATCACAATGGTTTCGCGAGTATCCATGATCTCTCGCTGTTCCGTTGGTCTCGCGGCGACTTTCGATAAGTCTCGCGCCGTTTCAGAAGTCTCGCGTCTTTCCACGAAGTTTACGCCTTCCCTGACCACCTTGACGTTCAGAATCCCTTGCCATCTCTCCCCCGTCTCCATTCGCTTCTTGAAACCACTCATCATTTCTTTCTCTCGTTGCCGCTTCCTCCATTCCCTCCCCCCACATTCCCCTCGTCGCGCCTCCACCCAGGCATTCCCGCCAAACGCGCGGCAGCTACAGCGACTCGGAGCCGCCGTCGGCGCGCGGGCGCGGGCCTCAGGGCGCGCGGTACGAGGACGAGGACGAAGGGGGAGAGGAGGGAGAGTATGAGGTGGAGGAAGCGGAGGAGGAGTACGACGATGGGCGCGGCAGCCACAGGGGAGGCGCGGATCCGCTCTACCACTCCGCGGAGTTCCCGCTTGGGGGAAACCCAGGTGCGGGGGGGAGGGGGGAGAGTTGGGTGGATGCGCAACGAAACGAAACTTCTAGAGAAAAGAACGCGAAATGATACGTAAGGGTCGTTCGGGAGGTGATTCGTAAGTCAGAGGAAGGAGGCAGCGAGGAGTGAAGATTGCGTGGAGTATGATCGCACTGTACATTGAGGCGACGAGACACGCGATGTCACTGTTACAATCATGCGACGGCTGTACAGCTATGCGATGGCACCGTTACAGTCGTGCGTTTCCCTTCCTCAACTTTCCCCTCCCCCTCCGCCCCTCCCTCTCCCCCACCGCCCGCGTCGCCCGTGCGCGCAGCGTCGGGCAGCGAGCGCGGCTCGCGAGCGAACTGGGACGCTTCCACAGACGACTCGTACGCCGACCGCGGCCGCGACCACGACAGGGACCGCGATCGCGACGGCGACGCTGGCGACGATGGCGACGACGGCGACGACGGCGGCGACTACGGCGACCAGGGATCTCCGCGCTCGCAGGCCAGTTACCGCTCCGGGTCGTACAGGGAAGGCGGCAGCCGGTCGCAGCAGCGGCGGCGGGGGGGGCGGGACGAGGACGAGAGGTATGGGGACGAGGACGAGGAGTATTACGACGATGAGGGGGAGGATTACGGGCGCGCGGACACGTACAAGCGCGCGGGGTCGTTCTCGCGCACGGGCACGTTTTCGCGCACGATGACGTTCTTTGGGCGCAGCCTCACGCGCACGAACACCATGTCGAAGAACCTGTCGCGGAGCCTCACGCGCACCATCACGCGCCAGTATAAGTTCGAGACGGAGGAGGAAGGTGCGTGCGACGGGCAAGGGGCGACGTGGGAGGGGCGGGTGGTAGGAGGCATGGGCCGGGTTGGGGGGAAGTGGCGGTGTGAGAAGGGAGCTGCTGTGGCGTGGAGGGGATGGGATGGGCGGGGACAATAAGGGACGGGAGCCAGGGAATCGGTGGAGTGTATTATGCTCTGTCTGTTGCCAGCTTGTACTCGCTCTTCCCTTCTCTCTATCTGCGCTGCCGTTCCCTTCTCCCTCGTGCTCGCTCCTCCTGCTTCCCTCTTCCCTCCCCCCTGACAATCCCTCACCCTTCGCTCCTCCCCTCCTTTCGCCTCCCTTTGCCCACCATTCCCTTCCCTCCCCTCCCCGCTTCTCCCCCCCTTCCCTCCCCTCTCCCCCGCTCCGCGCCCCTTCCCCCCCGGCAGTGGAGGAGGCGGCGGCGGCGATGGAGGAGGCGCGGCGGCAGCGGCTGGAGCGGGGAGACGGCGCGCTGGAGGACGCAACGACCAAGGTGGTGGAGAACACCACCAAGCTCGCGCGCACCATGACCATGGCCGCTGCCGCTCCCGTCGTCGCCGTGCTCGAAAACGAGCAAGTGCAGGTGCGCTGGCTGGAGGGGCAGTTGTTGGGACGGCGGGAGGAAGGGAAAGAGGGAGGAGGGAGAGAGGGACGGAGGGAAAGAGGGATGAGGGAGAGAGGGAGGGAAGGGCTGTCGTGCTGTTCTTTGGGGGTTCGAGAAGAGGGCTGGGGGATGGGGGAACGGATGTTGGAAAGGCATGCGTGTTGGACCTTTATGGTAGCTATGCCCAGAAATTGGGTGAACCGTTGCTTGGGAACAATTGCTCGGGCACATGTGATATGAGCACGCGTAGACACGTGCGCAAGGTGACTGATGGCTCAAGGGCTTGAAAGAACGTATCTAAGCCTGTGAAACGTGCACAGTCTAATACTGCTTCACAGATACTCTTGTAGCTCTGTTTCATACTCTTGCACCCGTTGCCTCTTGTCGTCCCTCCCCTGCGCTCCCCTGCCGCCACATCTCCCCACCACCTCACTCCCCACTGCCGATTCCCTCCCCTTCGTCCCCACAACCAGTTTCTTCCCAATCCCCCCATTTCTACTGAACCAAGTCCATTTCTACAAGGAGGGTGTTCTCACTATGCTTGTAGTCGTGGGCTGGGCTACAGGGTTCTGAAGAGAGACTCCTTTCTCTCTTTCTCCCTCACTTGTAACCCTTCCACGTTCCCCTCCGCTCCCCCCCTCTCATCGTCCCTCCCTCCCTACTCACACATTCCTCCCGCTCTTCCGATCCCCTTCTCCCCCACACCATCTCATCTCCCCTCCCCATACCCTCCCATCCGCTCCTCCCATCCTCCCCTCTCCCTCCCTCTCCGCCCGCCCCCGAGCAGAAGCAACTAAATTTCTTTAAGGAGCGAGCCCTCACCATGGCGGTCGGCCGTCCCGACTGGCACCCCGAGCCTCCAAAAGTCCCTCTCCCGGCGGCGTGCAACTGCTGCTCAGTCCTCATCATCTTCCTCGTGCTGCTCCTGCCGGGCCTGCTCTTCTTCGACGTGACTCGCCAGCCCGTCATGAGCGTCTATGTCACCGCCATTGCCACGCCCGCGGGCCCCCAGATGCCGCCGCTGTCGCTGCCGCCGCTGGGGCAGGTGTGCAGCTCGGGGGGATTCGGCGCGCAGGCGGTGAATCCGGGGGTGAAGACGATGAATAGCACCTGGTGGAGCAATGCTCTTGCTGATGGCGCTCAGGTGAGAGGGATTGGGGGCCGGGGGTGGGTGGGAGAGAGATTGGGGGGAGAGGGAGGAGGGCGGGAGAGGTTTAGGAAATGGGTTGATGGTGGTGCGTGCTACTCCTGCCTGCTTTGTTGTTCGTGTTGCCTGCATGCGCATAGAGTCGCCTACGTGGCATGGAGTGGTTAATATTGCCCCATGGCAGAGAGCCCTTTGCCCTCTGTCTGTCCCGTGCTAGCCCTCTCCAAACCTCCAGCTACTAGCGCTACCCTTGCTCACGCCATTCTGCTCGCTCAACCCACTTCCCTCCCTCCCCTCCCTCTCTCCCCTTCCCATCCACCCGCCCTCGTGCTGCACCGCACACCACCCACGCCTACTGTGCCCTACCGCCCTTGCAGATCCAGCTGCTTTCATACGGCAACCTGTGGTGGTATCCGCAGCCCCCCAACGGGGTCCTCAAAGGTGTTACCAAGCAGATCCCAGGCGCGCCACCTCCCCCATACACCACCCCCCCCGGCTCCCCCCCCGTCGTCATCCCCGAAACCCCCGATACCAGCAACACCCAGTCCCCCCCTCCCGGCCCCGCTGTTCCCCCGCCTTCCCCTCCCCCCATTTCCCCGCCCCCGCCGTTTGTCCCGCCTCCGCTCTCCCCTCCGCCAACCTTCCCGCCTCCTGCGCCCCCTTCCCCTCCGCCAGCGCCCTACACTACCCCACCCCCATTCCCGCCTCCCCCGCTGCAACCCCCATCTCCGCCTGCCCCCCCCGCCTCCCCCCCACCCCCGTCCCCGCCCCTGGCCCCCCCGCCCCCATACGTCCCCCCGCCTCCCCCACCCCCGCCGCTTCCCCCTGGTGCTCTCCCCGCGCCCTCCCTCCCCCCTGGCGTGTACGCCCCCCCGCCGCGAAAGAACCTCCCACCGTACATCCCGGGAATGAAGGGCGCAATCAACATGGGGGAGAACGTGATTCTAGACATCAGCAAGATAAATGCAGTGGTGGTATACGGGGAGGACGACATGAATCACGCCACTCGAGGCTCCTTCATAGCCAATTCGTTCTACGTGAATGTGATTGTGACGGGGAAAGGGCAGGAAGGCGGGTCGTACGCGGCGGTTCTGTGGGACGATGGGAACAAAACGGTGGAGTTTCAGCCGGGGCCGGTGATTGACAGCCTGTTGGATCGCCGCCGGTCCATCGGAGAGCTCTCGTATCTGAAAGTGCTCAACGGGACGTTTCTGGGAGGGAATTCTGACGGGAAATACGGCAGCACGGCACAGCTTGCAGACAACACGACCAAGGACATCGGGGGTATGCCTGTGTGGGGTACGATTCTTGACGGGATTCTGTACAACAACACCATTGAAATCACCAAGGAGAATCGCCCGAGGTTCGGGTACGGGTACACGCCCCCTCCGGCCAACTCCTGGTTCGGAGGAGGTGGGCGACGGCGCCTGCTCCAAGCACCAGACTCGCCTCCTTCCCCCCCTGTCCCCACTCCTGCTTCTCCTGGCAAGCCCAAGCCGCCTGCTCCCCCCGGCGCCCCTGCGCCTCCTGCGGAGGGAACGACAGGTGGCTTTGGGGCGTATGGGCGGGGCCCGCTGGGGCTGAACACGAACACAGCTCCGGGCGTGGACGAGTTCTTCACGGTTGTGCGCGTGAACAAGACGACGTTCCGCCTCAAGGCGCCCAATGGCAACTGGCTGACTGTGACTAAGGATGGGACTCTCGTTGCCACGCAGACTGGCAAGACGCCTGAAGGGATATTCTCGGCTGATCCGGTGGGTTGGGGGGGATGGGGTGGGGGAGGGGAGGGAGAATGGGGGGAGCGAGATGGGGGAAGGGACGAGGGGAGGGATGTGGGAAGGGACGAGGCTGGGGTGGAGGCTCGGGAGGCTCGGGAGGGTCAGGAGGCTCGGGAGGCTCAGAAGGCTCGGGAGGCACGGGAGGCTCGGGAGGCTGACGGTGTTGATGCCAAACCTCAGAAGGAGGCTCGGAAGAGGGGTAGCGTCGGGAGCTCAGGGGAGATGTTAAAAGGCTTCCTGTGCTGCCTCTGCTTTCAGCCTCTTCTTTCTTTTGGCTTGTGTTTCATCTCTCATCTGCTCCCCCTGCTGCCCCTCCCACCTGTCCCACCCTTCCACTCAACCCCTCCCAACCGCCCCTCCCTACCGCCCCCTCTCTACTACCCCTCCCTGCTGCTTCTCCCCATTGCCCGACCCATACTTCGTGTGTGAGTGCTCCTCTCCGCCTCTCCCCCCACGGCGCTCTGACCGTCATCCGAGTGCAGGTGGGGCAGCGGCAGATGGTGCTGCACACGTACGACGGGGGGATAGTGGGGTGGAGGAGCTTTGTGTGAGAATTCCCAAAACCTTCTTATTCTCAAAAAATGCTCCTCCTGTCCTTTGCTCTCCCCCCACGCCGCTATCGTATCACCCCTGCAGGTGGGGCAGCGGCAGATGGTGCTACACACGTATGACGGCGGGATAGTGGGGTGGAGGAGCTTTGTGTGAGAATTCCCAAAACCTTGTTATTCTCAAAGAGTGACCCTCCCATCCTGTCCCCTCACGGCACTATGACCTCGGCAGGTGGGGCAGCGGCAGATGGTGCTGCACACGTATGACGGCGGGATAGTGGGGTGGAGGAACGCGGACGCGGTGGGGCAGCTGCAGGTGCAGCGCAACAGGAACGCCTTCGACGCCATGGGCGGGGGGCCCCAGGGCGCGCAGTACACGTGGAACGTGCGCGAGGTCACCCAGGTGAGGTGCAGTTGGGGGGCGTGGTGGGTGGGGCTGGGATAGGCCGTGGATGGGGCGCATGCCATGGGCGCGGGGGAGGGCTACTGGCCCCAGGACACATGGAACGTGCACGAAGGTGGGTGGGATGGGGCGTGGATGGGGCGTGGATGGGGTGTGGGTTGCGTGTGGGTGGGACGTGGGCGGGGGTTCTGTTCTGGTTTGGGCATGGATAATGGATGGTACGAGGTCTCTGAGCTGTTTTTCCTGAAGGCGAAGACGTGTGTCTGTGTGAGCATTGGTGTACTTTCGCGAGCATATGTGTCCACACAAAAATGAATGCGCACATCGTCTAGCTCGGCACCGCTCCTCAACCCCGCCTCTCTCCGTTCCCCCTGCTCTCCTCTCTTTCCCCACTTCCTCCTCTCTCCCCGCACACCCTCTTCCCCCCCCCTCCCCTTTTCTCCGCACCCCTCCCCGCATCCCATCCCCTGCACCCCCCTGCCTCGGCCCCCACCCCGTTGCTTCGCCCCCACGCAACCCCCCACACTCTCACCCCGCTGGCAGGTGGCGCGCATTCGAGGGATGGACCTGGGAGGGTGGCTGGTGCTGGAGCAGGGGATGACGCCCGGCATTTCTTTTCCACGCGCGTCAAACGTCCTCTTTCCTCTCCATCCATCCCCTTCTCCCCCCACGCCCTCATCCCCCACCAGGTGGCGCGAATTCGAGGCATGAACCTGGGAGGGTGGCTGGTGCTGGAGCAGTGGATGACGCCCGGCATGTACGACGGCGTGCCGGACCTGGTGGACGGTTGGGAGCTCAAGTTCAAGTCCGTTGCCAACAGCAAGTACCTTCGCGCTGCTGTTGGCGGCGACCACAAGGTGAGCGATCATGCAGAATTGTCAACGAACGGATGGGAGCTCTCGAGTTCAAGTCTGCTGCCAACAACAAACAATTACCTGCGCGCTGCTGTGCACGGGGGATGGTGGCAGTGTGGACCATGACCACTTTGTCATCCACAGTGCATCTCCGAGACATCTCGAAGCTTTCTCACTTATCCTCTCCCATCCCCCATTCCTTCCCCCTCCCCCCCTCACCTCCCCTTCCCCGTGTTCCCCATCCCTCCTCGCTCCCCCCCCCTCCCCCCCCCGTATGGCCCTGCATGCAGCTGCGGGCTACGGGGGACGGGGGCAGTACAGACTATGACCACTTTGTCATCCGCAGGGTGGACTGCACCAGCTCTGAGACCTCTCAAAGCTTCCTCTCTCCTCCCCTCCCATCCCCCATTCCCACCCTCCCCTCTTCCGCATCCCGCCTCGCTTCCCCCTCCCCCCTCCTCGCCCTGCATCCTCACATGCAGCTGCGGTGCACGGGAGACGGGGGCAGTACAGACTATGACCACTTTGTGATTCGCAGGGTGGATGGGGCGGGCGGCAAGGTGCAGGTGCGGCTGTGGAAGTCGGGGCTGTTCATGCAGGCTCAGGGCGGCGGGGGAGGCGCTGTCATCACGCAGTATGACGTGCCGCGCGACGACAGCAGCGACGTCTGGACCATGGAGGTCAGTTCAGTGCAGTGCAGTGCGATGTGGTGCAGTGCGATGTGGTGCAGTGCGGTGTGGTGCAGTGCGGTGCAGTGCGGTGCAGTGCAGTGCAGTGCAGTGCAGTGCAGAGCGCCGAGGGTTCAAGAGGTTCACTCCCGCAGTGGCTACTGCAGTGTGTAACCCCATAGTATGAGCACGTCGCACGTGTACGTCTCTTGACGTAGCAAAGGCTCTTTGTAGAGAACTGTAGGAGCTGTTCAAGTGGCAACTACATGCCGTGCACGTATTCCTTCTGACCCTAGCCCTCTCACCATGCTTCTGACATATTCCATGACTCGTGCTGCATGTGTGCCCGTGCCTGCATGTTTACGTGTCTGTGTGTGGGACGCGCCTGTGCACGTGTGTGCGTGGCGGATCGGTGTGTGCGTGTGTGCTTGCGTGTGTGTGTGTGTGTGTGTGCGTGCGTGCGTGCGTGCGTGCGTGCGTGCGTGCGTGCGTGTGTGTGTGTGTGTGTGCATGTTCCGTCACCAGGTGTCATCGGACGGCAGCAAGGCGCAGTTCAAGGCGAACAACGGCATGTACCTGAACGTGCAGGGGGACGAGGTCGCTGCCTCTACCTCCTCTGGCTCATTCGATGGCTCCACCGCCTTTTACATTGACAGAGTGTGTATTGTTGCCATGCCATGTGTGTGCATTCATGTGCTTGGGCATGTGCGCATGTGTGCATGGGGGATGTGTGCATGAGTGGGCATGTGAGCGTGTGGGCATGTGTGTACATGTGCTTATGGAATTCCCCCTTCCTCATCCATCATCTGCTGTCCCTAATCTTCCACACTCTCCCTCCCGCACCCACTCCCCCACCCGCTCCCCCACTCTCTCGCCAACCCTCTCCCCCACTCCCCCTTCCACCCTCTCTCCCCCCATCCCCCATCCCCCCTCCTCCCTGTCTCCGCACAGGTGACATCAGTCCAGGGCGAGTGGCAGACAGCGGCCTACGCACGGGACTCGGGCAGCCGACTGCCGGACCACTGGCGGGGCTTCATAGTGGAGGACGACTGGCGGTACCTGGCGGAGCAGGGCATCAACACCGTGCGCATCCCCGTGGGCTACTGGATCATGCAGGGCAACGAGCCCGACTGGCCCTTTGTCCCCGGGACCGATGCTGTGCTCGACAGTGCCTTCTCCATGGCTGGTATGGGGCGAGCTGGGGGGTGTGGTGGGTGATGTTGGGTGGATTGGGGTGAGGAGGAGCTGGGGGGGAGGGGGAGTGTGCTGTCTGTCTGGCATGCAGGGCAAGGAGCCCGACTGGCCCTTTATTCCGGGGACAGATGCTGTGCTCGACAGTGCCTTCTCCATGGCTGGCTGGTACGAGGCTGGAAGGGGGATGCGGGGGGGAAAGCGGGGATGGGATGAATCGGGATGGTTGGTGGGAGTGAGGTTACCAGCAGGTTGGTGTGTCGTGTGTTGTTGGTATGAGCTTGCATGCACAGCACTCTTGTCCTTCCTTCTCTCTTGCTCTCTCTTCCTCTCCGCCTTCTGATTCCTGAAAGCCCAACCTCAAGCTCGCCTTCAGCCCCCCCCACTTTCCCCACCCATCCCTGAAAGCCCTAATCTCCCCATTCCTGCATCTCTCTTGCTCGCTTCCAAACGATCTTTCTGCCCGCATCTGGCCCTCACAAATGCACACAGCACTTGTCTCTCTTCCTCCACGCCCCGTTACCCCTTATTCCCTTTCTCAAATCCACCCCACCTTACCCCCACCCCAACCCTAATCCCCCCTGAATCGCACCACCATTGACTGAAATGCCAACCCCACCACCAACTCCAACCTGCCCACCCCCCTGTCCCTGCCCGTGTTGCCCCTCCCATCCCTCCCGTCTCTCCCATCCCTCCCATCCCTCCCATCCCTCCCATCCCTCCCATCCCTCCCGTCTCTCCCATCCCTCCCATCCCTCCCGTCTCTCCCATCCCTCCCATCCCTCCCATCCCTCCCGTCTCTCCCATCCCTCCCATCCCTCCCATCCCTCCCGTCTCTCCCATCCCTCCCATCCCTCCCATCCCTCCCGTCTCTCCCATCCCTCCCATCCCTCCCATCCCTCCCGTCTCTCCCATCCCTCCCATCCCTCCCGTCTCTCCATCCCTCCCATCCTCCCATCCCTCCCGTCTCTCCCATCCCTCCCATCCCTCCCATCCCTCCCGTCTCTCCCATCCCTCCCATCCCTCCCATCCCTCCCATCCCTCCCGTCTCTCCCATCCCTCCCATCCCTCCCGTCCCTCCCATCCCTCCCATCCCTCCCATCCCTCCCATCCCTCCCGTCCCTCCCGTCCCTCCCATCCCTCCCGTGGCCCCCACCTCCCAGAAAAGTATTCGATCCGCATCTTCCTGTCAATGCACAGTGCGCCGGGCGGGCAGAACCACGGCAGTGAGAGCTCCGCGCGCGACGGCGCCCCTGACTGGCAGCGCTACGAGGGCAACATCAACAAGACGCTCGACTGCATCGAGTGGCTCGCCAGCAGGTCAGTCAGAGACGTGGGGCGCGGTGGGAGCCAGGGGAGGGGGTTGGGCTGTGGGGGAAAGGTAGGGTGGTGCGGTGATGCCAACATCAACAAGACGCTCGACTGCATCGAGTGGCTCGCCAACAGGTCAGAGGGGTGGGGCGCAGTGGGGGCCAGGGGAGGGGATTGGGCTGTGGGGGAAAGGTAGGGTGGTGCGGTGATGCCAACATTAACCAACAAGATGCTCGACTGCATTGAGTGGCTCGCTAGCAGGTCAGCGGAATGGGGGCCGGCGGTGTTGCAGTTGGGTAATTAGAATCACTCTCAAAACCACCTGCTCGGTCAATGAACGAGCTTTGAGGCGCCTCAAAACTCATCTCTCTCCACCACCCGCAACGCCTCATCCACCGCACCCCACCCCACCCACAGGTACTCCAAGAGCCCAGCTCTCTTCGGCATCGGCCTTCTGAATGAGCCCAACACGGACATGGTGCCATTGGGCACGGGCGGCAGCCCCAGCGGGATTTGAGACGTCTCAAAACTCATCCACCGCACCCCCCACCTGCAGGTACTCCAAGAGCCCAGCTCTCTTCGGCATCGGCCTTCTGAATGAGCCCAACACGGACATGGTGCCATTGGGCACGGGCGGCAGCCCCAGTGGGCGGCTGAAGCAGTACATGCTGGATGCATACAGCATCATTCGCAAGTACTCGCCCTGCGCTTATGTGGGCATCTCGCCGCTGCTGGGTCAACCCCCGGCTACCGACATGGCTGGGTTCATGACCAATGCTCTGGAGGTGAGGGGGCGCTGGGGGGATGAGGGAGGGCGTGTGAGGCGTGGGTGTGAGAGAAGGGCGGGGTGGAGAGGAAGGTGGGGATGAGGGGGTAGAGAGGGGGGGAGAGAGGGTTGGGAAGAGGAGACGGTTTGGATTCTCATGTGCTGAAGCAATACATGCTGGATGCATACAGCATCGTTCGCAAGTACTCGCCCTGCGCTTATGTGGGCATCTCGCCGCTGCTGGGCCAACCCCCGGCTATGGACTTGGCTGGGTTCATGACCAATGCGCTTGATGTGAGGCTGTGGGTGGGACGGTGGTTGGGGGGAGGAGGGAGGGCGGGAGACGGGCGGGTGTGAGAAGGGCAAGGATGGAGTGGAGAGGAGGGGGGGATGAGGGGTAGAGAGGGGAGGAGAGAGGATGGGAAGAGAAGATAGTATGGTTTCGTAGAAGTTGAGGAGCTTGGTATGGCCTCACAATCCTATGTGTGACAGGGCTACATGGGGCACCACAAAATTATGTCCTTGATCCATGGCTCCCTGTTTCCCACTCCTGCTTACCACTCCAAAGCAAAATGTTCCCTGACCCCTTCCACTCCGCTCCCCTCCCCGTTCCCCCTTCCCTCCATACCCTTCCCCCACACCCCCCCTGTGCGGCTGTGTGCGTGTGTATCAGTTCAACAACTTGCTGATAGACGTGCATTACTACAACGTGTTTGACCCGGACATCAACTTATGAGACGCCTCAAAAGTCCTTTCCCTGCTTCGCCGTGCTGCCTCCTGCCCACCTACGTTGGCAGATACGCGTCCCAGGGTATAATACGCTAGCGTATTATACGCTGGGTATATACGCGGTACGCCAGGGCTGGCGTACTGGTGATACGCAAAAATACGTTGGGCGGGCAGGTAAAACTTTTTTCCCGGGCAGGGCTAAAAAAACCTGTTTCAAGGGGGGGGATTGTTTTCCAAGAACACAAGTCATAATTTAAATTTCATAAATATCCAGAAATACATATTTGGGGCTACTTCTCCCCATACATCCCCACCCCACCCCACCCTCTAGCTAGCTTCCCCACAACCGATTTCTTTGCGGGGCTTTTCCACCACCACACCTTCCCCATACTCATCCGCCAGCACTGCATCCTCTCCTTCCTCCCCCAGCATGTCATCCTCCTCCTCATCCATGTTATAGCCGGGGGGGATAGGGGCATCCGGGATGTTACCGGGCACAACCGTGCTGCCCCCATCCTTCTTGTACCAATTGCGCACAACGTTGAAATTGTGCGCAATGTAGACGAGGTCCGCACACTTGGCGGACCCGAGCCGGTTGCGGCGGGCGGTGTGGACGCCTTCCCACTGCGCCCAGCCACGCTCGCATGGGGAAGCCGAGACGGGCTGAGTGAGCACCCGGCATGCGAGGGCGGCAAGCTCAGGATACTCGGTGCTGTGCCACGACCACCACTGCACCATGCTCATCTCCCCCTTCTTCACTGCCTCCCTTGCAGAAATGGCGCCCGGCTTGCCAAAGCTGCCCTCCATGTTGATGTAGGCCAGCAATGCCTCCTGCAGCACAAGGGAGGCGCGGCGAGGGGCGCCATCCTTGCCACGCTTGAAGGTCTTGTTGTCATAGTGGCGCTCGATGTAGTCCTTGAACACCCGCGTGCACTCCACATCGTTCCTGAAAATTCCCTCCTCCTGGTTGGCCGGATTCAGGATCCGGCCAACCACATGCATGGGGCAGGCAAGGGAGTTGTCCCACCTGTCCTTCACAATCTTGGTGATGTCTGCCCTCTCTGTCCGAGTCAAGAAGTCACTTGAAGCGTCGAGCTTGTCATTGATGTCCTCGGTAAGCTATAGCATGATGTCATACAGCTTACCCATCATGCCTTTCGCGGAAGAGTCCGTGGCCCACATGGCCTTGAATGGCACCGCCATGAGAGAGGTAAAGAACTCCGCCACCCCCCACCACTCCTCATCCATCACAGCAGCCCTGAATTTCTCAGCTGCTGTCTTCCTATCCTTGTCCGCCGCTGCCCACACCTTCCACTCGTCGCTGAGCACCATCGCCGCCAGCCCACTCCTCACCTCACATAGTCGGGCCATGGCTATGTATTGTGTCCCGAACCTGGTTCCCGCAGGCTTGAGCACCTGCTTCCCCCCCACTTTCTTCATATAGGCACGGGTAAAGTGGTGATTGCGCACGAAGGTAATCATATCCCCTCCTTTCTCCACAAGCCCCTTCGCCCTCCCATTTTGCCCATATCTTCCATCATCAGGTCCAGGACATGCGTGGCACATGGCACATGCTCAATGTGCGGCCATGTGCTCGCAATCTTCTTGGCGGCCGATGCATAGTTGCTGCCGCCATCGGTGCAGACCGCCACCACATTCTCCGGCCCCACCTTATCAATGACGGGGCGGAGAAGGCTGGCGATGTACCCCCCGGTCTTCGACTCCATGTTGCAGTCCACCGCCTGCTCGAAAACTGCGCCGGAGTCGTTGACAAGGAGCACGTTGGCCTGCGGGCGGCCACAACGGTCGGTCATCATGTCCGACGACACCGTTACCCCGTCCCGCTTCCAGCTCGCGGCAACGGGGGCAAGCGCGACCTCCATTTTCTGCCGCACCTTCTTCAAGCCTGCCCCTCCAATGTAGCGCCTCTTAGGAGGGATGTACCCAGGTCCAGCGCGCGCAATGCACTGGACCGCGTAGCGGAAGACCGGATCGTCCGCAATGCGCTCCGGAAGTTTCAGCGCCGCGAACAGAAGGCAAAGCGCGTTATCCGCGTCCTCCTTGGCGCACGTCGCCTCATTGCCAAAGAAATCCGTAATTTTGCTCTTTTTCTCCGGGTTTCCACTGACAGCGTCAAGCGCGGAGTGAATTGCAGCAGCGGCCGCCCCTCGCTTCAAGTCCTGCTGTTCCGCCTTGGTCTCGTACATGCCACGGACTTCATCGCGGACTGCCGTGGGCGCGTCCTTGCATAACGCCACAGCGTGCTTCTCCTGCCCTTTCCATGTCACGAGATGGATTGCACAGCGGTTTGTTCCGCCCTCGAACTTCTTGCCACAGAACTTGCACAGCTTGGGGTTGCCTTTGGTGTGAAACGGAATGAGGAAATGTTTCAGAATGGGGTGAGATAGTCTAGCCTCAACAGGATCCGTGTTGACGGTAGTAGAGCCATGGACAGAGGCTGGATTGTTGTTCGTCGAAGTACTAGGAGCTGAGCCCGACGCCATGGCGCACTACGTAAGTCTAAGTAACGAAGAAGAGTGGAGAAATGCGGGAAGGAAATGGAAGAGCATTTGCGCAACGTCGACCTATACGTGCAAACGATGGAAGAACATTTGAAGGGGGTGGTTGGGATTGAGAGGTTGGGTGGGGTGATGTGTGGTTGAGGGGGTGGGAAAGTTTGGATTTTGAAATTCGAAGTTCAGAAGTGGGGTTGGGCACATGAGCGAAGTCGCGGTAACAATTCGCGACTTCGCACATCGTCGCGAAGTTTCTCAATTTCGGAATTTTTTTTTCGCCGGGCTGCCCGGCCGTATTTTCGCGAATTCAGAGCGTATCAGCGTATCACGCATATACGCTAGCGAATATACGTGATACGCCAGCCTTTCAAGAGCGTATCTGCCAATGTAGCTGCCCACCCCCCATCCCTCCCCCCCCACACACCCACCCACGTGGCTGGCAGTTCAACAACGTGATGATAGACGTGCATTACTACAACGTGTTTGACCCGGACATCAACACCAACCCCAGCTTCCAGGCGCACATTGACTATGTGCGCAACCAGCGGGCCTCCGAGCTCAAAGCGCTCTCTGAAGGCGACCGCACCGTGCTTGTCGGTACGTGCTGGCCTACCTGCCTGCCTCTACCTCTGCCTCTGCGTCTGTGTCTGCCTCTGCTTCTGCACCTTGCCTTCACCCTGTCCTCCCCCTTTCTTTCTTCTCTTCTGCCTGTCTCTTCTCTTCAACCTGTCTCTTCTCTTCAACCTTAACCCTGTGCTCTCTTACTCTCACATGCTCCCGTCCCATCCTGCACCCATGATCCTGACCACCATCCTCGTCCATCACATCATCTCATTCCCCCATCACTGCAAGCACAAATCATCCCATCCCCCCCCTTCCCCCTCTCCACCCTCCTTCCTCCCTCCACACACCTGCCCTTCTCCACTCCACCCAGGCGAGTGGTCACTAGCACTGCCAGAGTTTGTGGGGGCGAAGGAGGGAGACTACGGAGTGTACAGCCAGACGCAGCTGGAGGTGTACAACAATGCGTCAGCCGGGTGGTTCTTCTGGTCCTTCAAGGTGGACAAGGACTCGCGTGGCGTGCCCAACTGGGCCATGATCACTGCGCAGAACAAGGGCTGGCTCACCTACTGACCCACACCCGCATGAGCCACGACGACTGCTTGCAATGGCTCGGTCCGGTCCAGATGCTTCCTCTGGACTCCTGCGTCCTCTCTGTCTATTTGAACTCTCCTCAAGCAGTACTGTCCTGGGAAGTAGAGTACACACTTGGTCGTTTAACGGCTTTTGGGTCCTCGACACTATCTGTCATGACTATAGGGTGGGAATAACCTGGAAGTAGAAGGGGAATTCTGGGTGGGAGGCACCGGTATTTATATTGGTCCAGGGTTGAATTACAAGCATTCTATGATGGTGTTGGCATGGCATGGAATGTAGGCGAGCATGGCAACTAGCTGATATACCTACCATTGCAAATGCAACCACAGCAGGAAAGCTTCATGTAGGCTACTGCACCAACTGCACCCTCTCTTCATTGCTGCTCCATCCCATTCCCACAGATGAACACAGTGTCGTTCAGAAGGGTTGAGTTGAGTGTGTCGAAAACTGAGGACGCGTCACCTAAAAGCCAATCCTGCGATCGATCCTACGTAGGGTCGATTTTTCACATGGTTCAAAAAACGTCTAGAAGTTTTGAATGCAATACACGGGTTTTTGGTGCGGTCAAAGATCGGTTTTTGCACGATCGAGCCGGAGGGGACGCGTCCTAAGCTGGAACTTAGGAACTATTCTAAGCTCTTCATGTACACTTGGTACGGTAACTTTCTTGCTCATAGAAGAATTCCTCTGTTTCGCCTCAAACGCTTCGCCACGATTCGTATGGGTTGTTACCATCTCGCTCGTCCCTCGTCTCTCCACCAACCCACCCCGTCTCTTACCTCCCAGCCTCGCCTCGCCACGAAGCCAACCACCAAGCCATCCGTGCCTGCAAGTTCCAACTTCCAGGGCACCAAACCGAACAAACCCCTCCCAGCCTTATCGGTTGGGTTCACCTCACCACCAAGCTGCAGCACCCACCCACGCTCGCTGCAAGAGTCAAGACGCACAACACCGAACACAACAGGTAGACCAGTGTCCTCCATTATTTTCCGCCCACTTTCGCCGTCCGTAGACGAGAAGAAGGCTCGTCTAGGTGGCTTTGTTCCGTTTCGGTCTGCTTGTGCTGGTGTGAGAGGCTCCCTGTGTGAGAGGCCCGCCGCCATATTTGTGTCCTATCCCTTCATTTGCGCGCAGCTTTAGCGGTCTCAGTGTATATTCACAGTTCACGGTTATTGCCTTTTAGGGTTAGTCTTTCTGCCTGCCGTGCTTTTCTTAAAAATTACTCCTCTCATCTCCCACTCATGTTTGGCTCAAACACGCCCTAGGGAACAAAAACGAAAAGATAAAGCTGTCGCATTTTTATTCTTTCCGTCGTAGTTCCTCCAGTAACCTCCTATCGTGGCCGTCTTGTCATAGAGACAACTCGCCTTGCTATCGTGCTGCAGCTACTCTTCTCCTTAACGGACCTTCAGCTCTTGTTTTCACCTGAACCGTCATCAGCTTCTCCTACCGCACTCAACCGCAAGGCACCGTTCTACTCCAGCGTCGAACCCTTTTCCCTCATCAGCACCGCACATCCCTCCGGCCGGCGCGCTGCCTTTCCCCGCAAATGGCGGCGTACTACGCGGATCTAGACCGGCAGATCGAACAGTTATGCGAGTGCAAGCCGTTGTCGGAGGTCGAGGTGAAGCAACTATGCGAGAAAGCGCGCGAGGTGTTTCTGGAGGAGTCGAACGTGCAGCCCGTGCGGTGCCCGGTCACCGTGTGCGGCGACATCCACGGCCAGTTTTACGACCTCATCGAGCTCTTCCGTATCGGCGGCCGAGCGCCGGATACTAACTACCTCTTCATGGGCGATTATGTCGGTACGTGCCGTGTTTTGTTCCTTTTCTTTTAATTTTGGCGTTTTGAAGATGGTGGTTGTTGCGTGCGAAAGTCTTTTTAACTAGTGTTTTTTTTTCAATTTTATTTTATGCCTGGTCTGATTAGCTCCCTCTTTATTTTTCTCGTTTTAGGGCTAGGATTGGCAGCCCTTCTGTCCTTGTATCTGCCAACGGGAAATTGAGGGTCCTAAACGCTGAAAGCTATAATGAAAATAATGAGTAGAGATGCATATTTGTCTTGGCAGCCTGTCAGTACCGGACAGCGCAAAACGCAGTTGGCTTTGAGTCACGATGTCGACGCGGGAGATGCGTGCCGCTGTTTGCTCGCCACAATTTTCCCGCCGCTGACCCTCGCCCCCATTTCCCCCACAAATTTTTCCTTCCCCACCTTTCCTCCTCCCGCCCTCCTCACTTGCCTGCTTCCCCCGTCTTCCCTCTCTCCCCCCGCGCGTTCCCCGTCTTCCTCCGCTTTTCCGCCGCTGTTCCCCCGCTCTCCCCCCCGCGCGTTCCCCGTCTTCCTCCGCTTTTCCGCCGCTGTTCCCCCGCTCTCCCCCACGCCCGTGCGCGCGCGCAGACCGCGGGTACTACTCGGTGGAGACGGTGACGCTGCTCGTGGCGCTGAAGGTGCGCTACCGCGACCGCATCACCATCCTGCGCGGCAACCACGAGAGCAGGCAGATCACGCAAGTGTACGTGGAACGTTATGTGCGGTGATTTCGTCGCAGCGCACATCTCGGCCGTTTGTTTCCTCTGCGTTCTGTGCCTCGCACGACTTTCCTTCTCTATTTTTGCCTCACGCTTTTCTACCTCCACAGTGTAACAGCCCTTAATTCCCCCTCGCTTACAACCTCCCACTCCCCCTTCCCCCTTCCCCCCCTCGTCTCGCCCGTCTCTTCTCCCCTCCCCATCCGCACCGCTCCTCCCCCCTACCTCCCCTGTATCCCGTTCACCCGCCCCCTTTGCTTCCCCTCATCCCCCACTCTCTCACCTCGTCACTCCGCACCCTCCCCTTTCCTCCCCTTTTCCCTCCCCCTCCCCCTCCCTCCCCCTCCCTCCCCCTCCCCTCCCGCCCCGCGCAGGTACGGCTTCTACGACGAGTGTCTGCGCAAGTACGGCAACGCCAACGTGTGGAAGGCCTTCACCGACCTCTTCGACTACCTCCCGCTCACCGCGCTCGTCGAAAGCGAGGTCCGTCGCGCGCGCGCGCACTGCGGAAAGGGGCGGGGGTGGGGAGTGCCGGGGGGGGGGAGGGGGGTTGTTGCGGGGGAGGGGGTGGAGGGAGTATGTGTGCGCGGTCGTGAGGGGGGTTTGAGAAAGGGTAAGGAGGGAAGGATCAGGGGGAAGGGGGAGGGTGGTGAGTGCACCGACACAATGCGCTGACATCCTTCGTTACTCCCTAGTCTCTCGCTTGCCTCCCTTCTGCTGCTCCCCTCCTCGTCGTTTATCCCTCTCAACGCCCTATCAATTCCTTCTCTCCTGCACCTCGTCCCCCGCTGCGCGATCCTTCCTGCTGTCCAATTCTTCCCCTTCGCCTGCCTGTGCAATCCCGGCAGATCTTCTGTCTGCACGGAGGACTGTCGCCGTCGCTCGACACCCTGGACCACATTAGAGCGCTTGACCGCTGCCAGGAGGTGAGCCACGGGGGTAGGTAGGGGAAGGTGCATGCGCACGCAGGCGCGGACACGCGCGGGCAGGTGCGGACAGGCGCGGGCGAGGGGGAGAGTTGAAAGATGGGGGTGGTGAAGATGGGGGAGGGAACTAGCGACGCTGGTGGAGAATGGGTAAATTTCGGATGGTTGGAGGAGCAAGGGGGAAGGGAGGCTGAGGACAGGTTGGAAGGAGGGATGCTGACCCCTATCCACCCAATTTCCCTCGATCTCCCGCGCCCCTCCATCCCCTCCCCATTTCCCCCCCCGGGTGCCCTACGAGGGCTTTATATGCGACCTGCTCCGGTCGGACGCTGACAACTCCCCTCCATCCAATCCCCCCCAGTTCCCCGCGCCCCTCCCCTCACCTCCCCTCCAGGTGCCCCACTAGGGCCCCACGTGCGACTTGCTGTGGTCACTCAATCTTCACTCAATTTCCCAATCCCCCTCCCCTCTCCCCTCCTCAACCCCCCCCCCCCCCCCCCATTGCCCTCCCGTCCCCCACCCCCAGGTGCCCCACGAGGGCCCCATGTGCGACCTGCTGTGGTCGGACCCGGACGACCGGTGCGGGTGGGGCATCTCGCCGCGCGGCGCGGGGTACACGTTCGGGCAGGACATCAGCGAGCAGTTCAACCAGAACAACGGCCTCAACCTCGTGGCGCGCGCCCACCAGCTCGTCATGGAGGGCTACAACTGGGCGCAGGTCAGCTGCGCGGGGAGAGGGGAGGGATGGGGACGGGAGGGGGAGGGGTGGGGATGGGGAGTGGGGGGAGGAGGGGAAGGGAGGGTGAGGGGTGGGTGGGCGGGGAGGAAAAAGGATCTGGACGGGGTTGGAATGGGTGGGTGGGTTGACCAGGCAGGCATTCACTGGGGGATTGCTGGTGTGGGATACTGAATGTTTGGGATGGACTTTCTTCCTTGTGGAGCATCGTGGCATGTTGTGTGTTGATTGGAGGATGTACAGGCTGGTATGCAAAAAAACAATCCAGTCTAAGTGACCAGTCTTATCTGAACCAATCCTTGGTCTCCCTTTAGCCCGCATATTTCCCTTTAGCTCGCCTGTTTCCCCCACCTACACACACTCCCCCGTACCCATTTCATCCTGTCTCCCCTCCGGCATCCATCGAACCTCAACAGTCTTTCCTGGCAACCCTGTCTTTCCTGTTGAATGCTTCCACCAATTCACTCCTCCCCAGTACCCGCCCGTGCTCCCATACATGCAAAGCCATCCCATCCCTAGCTGTAGAGTCTCCCAAACTTCGCCCGAAACACGTCCCCTCCTGCCCCCCTCCCAGTCGCTCTCAGCTCCAACCCATGTCACCCACTCCCCCTCTCAATCCCCGCTCTCCTTCCCTCCTCATCCCCGTCGTTTCCCCCTCCCGTCCTCCCCCTGTCGTTCCACCCCGTCATGCCCCGGTCCCTCCTTGCTGTGCCCGTCCCTCCCCGCTGTGGTTCCATCTCCCCATTCCCCCCCCCCCCACCTGCACCCCCCCGCAGGACAAGAACGTGGTGACGATCTTCAGTGCGCCCAACTACTGCTACCGCTGTGGCAACATGGCGGCCATCATGGAGGTGGACGAGGCCATGGACCGCTCCTTCCTGCAGTTCGAACCCGCGCCCCGCCAGGGCGAACCCGACGTTGCCCGCAAGACCCCCGACTACTTCCTTTAATCTGCTCTATTTTTTCTTCTGTTTTAAGGGGCTTGGGGGGGGAGGGAGGAGTATGGTTGGTGAGAGGGGAGGCGGGGTTTGGGAGGGGGATAATGGGGTGTGGAAGGAGGGGAAGGTGAGGGGGAGAATGAGCAGGGTTGAAAGAGGAAGAGGTGGTTCTGTTTCAGGTGGTACGGTATGTGTGGTAGTTGGGTCATTCTCCTAAATGGTTGATAGGACGAACGCCACACGCCAAGTTTCAGCATAGGAGCCTCCATTATTCTCTCTAGTCTGCCCTCCTAGTTATTGTTTGTACTGATGTGTGTGCGAATAGAGACATGCCACTTCTAAAACAAATAACCCAAGTGCTACTGTGGAGTGTGAAAATGATGCCTAGGGGCAAACTACACTAGCAAGGTGTAGAAAGAGACCTAACAATTAGTTCTGGAGAGGACGCATGAACTGTAAATCGAAGCATACACACCCAGCACACCATACGGTGTTGGGCTGAAAAACCCTTAGGATCTTTGCAGGGGTGAACTCTGGGTAGAGTTGGTGTAGTAGCGGAAGCGTTAATTAAAGAGTTGTGAACCACCTTGCGCTAGTATGTGAGGGCAAAGTAAGTTAATTAAAACAAAGAGATACAAGCTTTTATAAGAGTACAAGGAATACGAAGAGATACAGTTAATAACCGTTTTACTATTGCTGTTGCGGTTCGATACAGTGATGACTCGGGCAACTGCTCAATACCGAGTCAGTTGTTTGTCCTTGCTGTCGCGCTGTACTTTGTCCGGTCAAAGGTCGCTGACCTTTGACTTTCGCGTAACCTCCAACAGTTACTTTCAACCTCCGAGGGTTGACTCGCCGGTGATTCGTTATACTACGTTTCTTTTGTGTCTTAGTGTTTCGACACGACAGAGGCGCTTAGGACCGATTGTTTCCAACACTCCCCTTCGCTTCTGGAGTGTCGCTGACGTGGCTCTGTCCAGTCAGCAGCATGCAGTATTCGAACTTCTGCTTTCCGAGCTTCTTGGTCAGGTAGTCAGCTGCCATCTCGGACGTGGGACAGTATGACAGCTCGAGCCTTCCCTTCTCGATCTCGTCCTTCACGAAGAAATATCGCAGGGCGATGTGTTTCGTCCTGTTCGCGAAGCCGTTCTTGTTGGCGATGCGAATTGCCGACTGGTTGTCGCAGAACAGGGTAAAGTTGGGTAACTCGGCTAACTTCGCTTCTTCCAGCAGCTCGCGAAGATAGAGTCCTTCCTTGGTGGCTGAGCAGAGTGCAATATATTCTGCTTCAGCTGACGAGAGAGCAATTAATTCCTGCTTGCTCGACTGCCAAGAGATAGGTCCGATAGGTTCGAGGCGGTAGATGTAACCGGTGCGGGAGCGCCTATTGTCGGAGTCGCCAGCGTGATCAGCGTCGACGTAGCCGAGTAACTTAGTCGGTGTGGTTGCATTCTTGTAGTAAGTTAGGCCGATCGTTGGGGTGCTGATGAAGTAGTGAAGAGCGCGGTCGAGCTCCGCCAGATGTTCTGCTTCAGGCTTCTTGAGGTAGGTGGCGAGCTGGCTTGCGGAGTATGAGAGGTCGGGGCGACAGGTGACGGCTGCGAAGAGAAGACATCTCAGCTTCTTCTGGTAGTCTCGTATGCCGGCGGGCTTGAGTAGAGCGGAGCTTCCTTTGTCGTTCCCTGCCGTGTAGCGGTATGGCGTGGAGATGGCTGTCGGTGTGAGCGTAAAGCGTTTGGCGATGGTGTCGGCATATTTCTCGGCGCTGAGGTAGATCGCGTCCTCCTCTTCCCGGATGTTGAGGCCGAGGTACTGAGTGACGGTAGATGAAACTGTGAGCGTGAGATCTCGCTGCAGCTCCCCTTCGAACCAGGTAGTGATGCCGTCATTTGAGCCGATGTAAAGGAGATCGTCCACGTAGACGATTAGTAGGATGTAGTCGTCGTTTTTTGTGAGCCGGTACATGCCTTGATCGTGCGGTAGTTGCTTGAAGCCGATGCGGATGAGGCGAGCGTGCAGGTACTGTTGCCACAGTCGCGGAGCCTGCTTGATGCCGTAGAGTGACTTGAGTAGCTGGCAGACTTGGTTGGGTTCTCTGTGGGAGCCGTGCGGTAGCTCGACGAAAATTTCTGCATCAACAGGTGCGTAGAGAAACGCGTTCGCGACGTCAATTTGTCGCAGCTTCTTCTTCTTCATGGCGGCGATTGCGAGGAGAATGCGTAGTGAGGTGTGGCGGCTAACCGGAGCGAAAGTTTCGGTGAAGTCGCGTCCGTGTTCTTGGTCGAAGCCGCGTACAACCCAGCGAGCTTTAAATTTGTCAATGGTGTCGTCAGCCTTTGTCTTCACACGGAAGACCCACTTCCCGGTGAGCACTGTCTTGTTCCGTGCCACGCCGATAGGAACCACTTTCCACGTGTTGCGTTCCTCCAGTGCCTTCAGCTCCTTGTCCATGGCTTCGCGCCATTTTTCCTTATGCTCCCCCCCCAGAGCCTGTTGAACCGTCGCAGGCTCTTTAGGAATGGCGGTGCCGTGGACTGCGGTGACGAGTCCGAGAATTTGCAGTCCACTCTGTGAGTAGCGGGGAAGATTTGCGTCCTCGGGATAAGCTGCTTCATCTCCCGCTTCTGGATCAGGTATGAAGTTGGGTCCTACTCGTTCTGCTTCGTTGGTGTTGACTGTCGCAGGTGTTACGTAACCGTTGTCGGCGAAGGTTTCGGCGTTGACACTTTCGCGAGGGTTATCTTCGTCCATGGGAACGTCGACGGAGCAGAACGGAAGAGGTCCGGCTTCTTCTGATGCGTTGTCCACATTCTGCTCGTCCCAGTCAGCTTCGTCCGTTGCTGAGGCGAAGGCTCGGTCACCGCGAAAACCACCTGTGGGATCCTGGTCTTCTTGCAGGTTGGCAAGGTATGTCTGGAGCGTGAGTCGTTCGTAGAAAATTACATCACGTGCTGCTACTGTTTCCTTGGAATGGACGTCGAAGATTTTCCACGCGTTGTAGTTCTTTTCGATTCCCAGGTGTAGTCCCCACTGTGCTCGTTGAGAAAATCGGCCCGCTCGTGCTGCTGGGGGTCGGTACTGTACCATGCATCCGAATACTCGTAACATTTTTGTGCTGCCCTGTTTCCCTGTCCATAGCAGATGCGGTGATGCGTTGTTTGGAAGCGATGATGACGAGAGCAAGTTGTGCAGCATGACGGCGTGGTCCATTGCCGCAGGCCACTGGTGGTTGGGTAGCCGCATGCCACGTAACAGTTTGCGCATGCTGTTCTGCAAGGTCCTGTTCATTCTTTCTGCTACACCTTGCTGCTGATGGGCGTAGGGAAGGGAGATGAGCCGCTTGATTCCCCTTTCCGCCAGGTACTGCTTGAATCGCTGAGAGGTGTATTCTCCTCCTCCGTCTGACTGGAAGCTTTTCAGTTTCACGCCCGATTCTCTCTCTGCTACTGGTAGCCAGGCAACGAAGGCTGCGAATGCCATGTCGCGGCTAGGGAGGTTTAGGTGCCAGACGTAACGGGTGGCGGCGTCGATGAAGGTGATTGTATAGTTGTATATTACTTGTCCTGGTTCCCGATTGTACAGCATGTCGCTATACACCTTCTCGAGTGGTGCGTACGCGGGTGCGCTCGGGTTGTGATGAGACGCAAACGGTCGATGTGGTAAGTCACCTTCAGGGCAGGTGAAGCACGTTCCGCGTACTCGTTGAAGTTCTCGTCCGTCGGTCAGTAGGAGTGAGTCCTTGTCGAGTACTCCTGCTCTTATCGTATTGTTTAATACTGTGTTGCTTGGGTGTCCCATCCTTGCGTGCCAGGTGCTTTCGTCGGCGCGATGTCCGGGTGATCGTCGGTACATATCGGAGTTGGAGTAGAAGTTGGCGGTGAAGTTGGCGCTACGATGAACTTCTTGTGGTGCTGGGTGTAGTTGTTGTGCGGGTGTCGGTGGTGTGTCGTCGATGAGGAGCGGTGTCGTTGAAGGACCAGCAATTGGTGTTGACGTTCCTGCTGCTGCCGTTGATGGTTCCGCTACTACCGATGTTGTCTCTGCTGCTGCCGATGTTGTCTCTGCTGCTGCCGATGTTGTCTCTGCTGCTGCCGATGTTGTCTCTGCTGCTGCTGATGTTGTCTGAATTGTTGCTAACGCCCTTGTTCTTTCTGCTTCAGGGATGGTGTGTGAATACCAGAAGCCTTCTGGACTGAAGTCTGGAACAAGGTCTGGAGGGTGTGTCCAGTTGGTGAAGTTAACGATGGCGTCGCTGTCGGCGGTGCCAAGATCAGGAACGAAATCAAGAACGAAGACGTTGTTCTTGAGGACCGCCTTGCCGATGTAAAGTCCTCCTCTCCCGTGATACAGCTTGAATTCTTGGGTGGTGCTGTCTGCTTCGAGGTGAATCCCTTTCGCCATTAGCTGACTGACGCTCAGTAAGTTGTAGCCGAGTCCCTCCGCGATTAGTACTTTTGACATCTGCAGTATAACGTTTGTTTCCCTTGACTGAAGTTGAACTACGCCTTGTCGTCGTGTTCGCATGTTCTGATTGTTGGCGACTGTAATGACAACTTCGCGTTGAAGTTGGTGTTCTCGTTGAACGAAGCGTCCCGAGGAGCACATGTGCTGTCCGCAGCAACTGTCCAAGAACCATGTGTCCTTTCCGGATGGTTCGCTTTGGGCGATGGCGGCGTATGTCGGGTTCGGCTGAAGTGACTCGCGGCGGGGTGTGGTTTCGTCGAGTTGTTCTTCCGGTGAGTAGTGTGGTGGTGACTCGGTGATGCAGGAGTCACTCAGCTTTGCCATGCAGCTGACGATGTTTCTTGCTCCTTGTGCAGGTTGTCCCGTTGAAGTCGTTGAGGCTTGAATCTGGGTCGTGGGATTTGCTTGCGTTGAGGCGATTTTGCTGCTTGAAGGTCGAAGTTGCCGCTGTGGAGTTGTTGACTGTTGACGATTCGGGCAGTGCGTACGCGGGTGTCCTGAAGTTTTGCAGATGTGGCAGAACGGAGGTACTGGCTTCGGTTGTTGCT